CCACCATGCTAGGATTTTTTTTTTCTTTTTTTGAAATGGGGTCTTACTAGGCTGGTCTCAAGCTCCTGGGCTCTGGCAATTCTCCTGCCTCAGCTTCCTGAGTAGCTGAGGCTATACGTATAGACTATCACTTAATGTGTACCACTTACTCACCTATGAGACAGATACTGTTACCTTAAGATAAAACTCATGGTACACTGAGGTACAGTTACCATTCATCCCCATTTTAGGATGGGATTTGAGGCCAGGACTGTGGGACTCCAGCACTGGCCCCCTGATGTCCCTCCACACTGCTACCAGCCAACAAGCCCTTTTGTGCACTTTATATATGACCGTCCTGGGTCACTCTTCCAAGGCAGTGCCTGCCTGCACCCTCATGCTCACAAAGCACCCACTAGGTGCTCAGAGGGAAGCTGCACCCAAATGCAGGTGAGCAAGTGAAGGAAGTCAGCTAGGTCACCATATGCCGTCCTAGTACACAGACCTGAGCTGAGGCGGCAGGGGATAAATCTTACAGCTAAAAGCTCAAAGGCAGAGGATTTCGCACACAACCTGGCACCTCCTGGCCACAGGGGCCACCCGCCGTGGAGTAAGACGAGAGTCCCCCGGCTCCCCAGGGTGTGTGCCACCCTGACCCCGCCTCCGTGTTGTCTGTCTGAGCCCTGTGGGGGCTGACAGAGTCACGCGGAGCAGGATGCAAGGGACTTCCACAGTTCATGTCCCACCAAACAGGGAAATGAAAAAAGATCCCAGCATGGGAACAGTTGAGAGACAGGCCACCCAGACCTCCTTGGGAGACATTCAATCGCACACAAGGTTCTCAGGTGCCCTGCAGCCTACGGACCTGGGAGTGACTGTGAGTCTGGGAACTCCCAACTTTCCTTACTACAAAACACATTTGTGGTAACAAACTTCTTGCTATCCTGAAAGCACATTTTAGGACACAGAGGCTGCAGGTTGACTGTCTTCTGGGGATGTTGCATTCTAATCAGGGACCCTGCTCTAGCCCCCAGGAAACTGGCTCTCAGTGTGCCCGTGGGGGTGCAGCTGCCCACCTCAGGGGCGGGGCTGCCGTCTGCCCCAGGGACTCGGGAGTCACCTGCTCACTTTCCTAAGCTGTCACCAAATCGCATCCTGTCTGGATTCTTCCCACGGCCCCCCACCTGCGCTGCTCCCCCCTTGCCCTGTTAAAAGCCATCTCCTCCCTCGCGGCCCTCGAGATGGTACCAGCGCACTGTGGAGAGGGACACACCTGCTCAGAGTGGCACCTGCCCCAAACCAACCCTTGCAGTGCCAAACACAGCTGCAGTGGTCCCTACCCTGCTCCAGATCCCGACATTCTGGCCCCTACACCTTCCTCCACTGCCACCTGTGTGTCCCCTCCCTCTCACGGACATTTGCCCCAACGGTTTGGATGGTCTATGACACTGTTTCCAGGTTTAGTCATTACATTATGAATGTCTGCTTCTCCGATACTCTGTCGGCTCCCTGAGGTACTGACCAAGTCCTCCTAATCCCTATGGTAAACCCTGTTCTAAAGCCAGTTGGAGTGGTGCATGCCTGTGATCCCAGCACTCTGGGAGGCTGAGGCAGGAGGATTGTAAATTTGAGTCAAGTCTGGAAAACTTCGCAACTTAGGAAGACCCTGTCTCAAAAAAAAAAAAAAAAAAAAAAAACTGTACGAAGGT